CGTTGGCAGCTCGTGGCCCCTAAGCTCAAGGTGCCGAGTTCAGTCTTAGTTGCGGGTGAGTGTAGCCACTATCCCATGTGGGAGTCGAACCAGCAGCCTTGTTGTTAATAGCACATGCTCTATCCACTGAGCCATCCGGGTGGCAGCTCAACTCAAGGTACCAAGTTCAGTCTTAGTTGCAGGCAGGCATAGCCCACCATCAAACAGTCTTGTTAGGAACATGTGCTCTCACCAGCTGAGCCATCCTGCCACCTGTTGGCAGCTCAGCAGCAGCTCAGCTCGGGCACAGCATCACTGGCCCATGTGGGAATCGAACCAGCAGCCCTGTTGCTTGAGCTCGCGCTCTTTAGCTAACTCTTAACCAACTGAGCCACTCGGCCAGCCCACAGAAAATATATTTTGAATAATTCCAGTGGCTTGAGCTTGTTCTAGCCCTGAGAGAATACTGAGACCTTCATTTGTACCTCTCGTGGTAGAAGGATTTTTTTTGACTCCCTCCTCCACCCCTTTCCCAGGACTTGCTATGTTCTGTTTCTGGTTAAAATTACCTAGGACTGTTTCTCTGAAGAAGACCAACATGGAGGGTGTCACTCTTTGTCCCTTCAACCAGGTGATAGGATATAGCATGATTATCAGTAACACACACACACACACACACACACACACTCACTCGTGTGTGCACACACACACAGTGTCTAATTGAATTCCAAATTGACAGAACTTTTAGAAGTGACACAGCTTGTACTTGAGCATGGGAGATACACTCAGTTGATTGTTTTTAATTAACTAAACAGTGTTAAGGAGCTAGAAATATAAGTATGCAAGATAAAAGCACTAGTTCCTTGCGTTCCCCTCTCACTCTGTGAGATCTTCCTGACAAGAGGTGTCTCTGTAATTGTGGCTCTGATTAGTTATCCCTGGTGAACACTGCAGAAAATAGTGGACTGTGAGTGATTAATTAAATCAAGATAAGTACTATTCACCAACTTGTCTTTTGTTGCTGTTTCTTTCTCTCTAACAAAATGCATGCTGTCTTACTGGCTTGCTAAATAGCAATCATTTTAAATTTGCTCATTGAGTTTCAATGAGCAAAATATCACAATTTATAGTGCTATTGTTAAAAAACTAAATTTAACTGAGCAAATTTGAAGATCTAATTGGCTTTATTAAATGATTAATGAATTGGGCAGCATCTCTTCTGGCAAGCAGAGAGTTATACAAAATGAAAGGAGGGTGGGGTAAGGAAGTCATTAGCAAAAGAAAAATGAAAGTTTGTTGGACGAAAATAAGAGTTCAGGGTGACAACAACTTGTTCATTGGCTGAGCTGCAGTGTTTTTCATTGGCTGGGCTTGTTGCTGGGCAAGAAGAAAATCTTCCTCTTGCAGGGACAGTAAAATAGATAGACTTTCCTGTTGGAGATGCAAGGTAGTCTCTTCCTATTTGGAGTAGGGCAAGAGAACTCTCTGTACAGGCCTTCTTGACACCAATTTGAATTGAGATTTCCTTTATAATTTTCACCCTATGAATATATATAAGATTTTCCCCATGTATTAACATTTTCAAATGCATTTTCAATGAGATGAACTTTAGGTAGCTTTTAAGTGGTATTCTTAGTTCCAGTTTTTCTTCTTCTAATCTGTATACAAGTACAATATTAATTTTCTTACATATTACTGAGGATTCTTGGTTGCAAATAATAGCTGGGACCCAATTCAAACTGGCTTACAGAGGAAACAGAATTTGTTAGCTCATACATTGGGAAGTTCAACTGTAAAACTGTCTTAAGACTGCTGGATCTTAAGCCTCAACTTATGTCATCAAAACACTGGCATTCTCTATGTTGCATTCTTCCTGCTTTCCTTAGGGTTAGCTTCATTCTCAGGCTCTCCCCACAAAGAGTCAATGATGGCCACCATCAGCTTCAAACTGAAAGTCTACCAGTTTAGCAACACCAGGGGAAAGAGAGACTCTAGCAAAAGTGATGAGCTAAGGAAGTGTAACCAGGGGATGGGCTGTTCCGATTGGCCAGTCCTGGTCATGTGCTCATCACTGGAGCTAGGGATTCTGGCAGGGAAAGGGTGGTTCTGCAAAGGAAAATTAAGGCACTATTTTCAGAAGAAGAGGGAGTCAATGATCAGTAGAAAATGACAGCAAACGTCCACTTTCATTAGGAGATTTCCTTGCTCTAGTTGGAGGATGCTGGATATGATGACAAGAATTATGCAAGGTAAAGTTTGAGTTTTGGAATTTATAGCCCTGAATTCTATTTCCAGTTTGGTCAAGTGCTGGCTGTGAGAGTTTGGCAAGTCAATTAACCTCTTTGACCTTTAGTGTCTTCATCTAACAATAGAGCTAAAGACTCAGAGCCTGGAAAAGGAGGAAAAAGGAGTGTTTGGCACATGTTAACACTTAGCAAAAGGTAATTTAATAAGAAGAATTGGTTTTTACTACTTT